GGTCATTTCATGTTGAAATCAAAGAATGAAGATTGTACACTCATAAAAATGAAAATGAAGACCAGTTTTGTAAGAACAACTCAAGTATCCTTGAGGACTATGCACTTTTAAGACTGCATGAAACTAAAACTTTCTGGTCTCTCCTTGGGCATTAGTGAAATGGTGGTTCACTTTTACTGCATGGATGACCATGGGGCTCTTAAATTGGAGAAAGAAGATAAGTGCAAAAACCAATGTTATCTTTTTTTAAGAAGCATCTCATTTGAATGGAGTATTAAATAATTCTTTCTCAGAATACATGTGTGTAGAAATGAATAATCAAAACCAAGAAAAATCTGGTTTGCTCATCTTTCTGGCATGTCAATACAGGTGCTGTGCATATGCACCTATAACTGCATTCACAGTTAGCAACTATCTGATTTAGAAAACCAACCAAAATGACCTAATGGAAAAAAATCTATTAATGATTCCTATTTGGTAACTGCAGACAGTTAAGGCAACTGCATTGAACTAACATCACTGAGGGAAAAAATACCCTGGCAATTTCTGGCATGAAAATCATAAATAATTCACTGAGCTGCTCTATGCCCTCACCTCATACAGACTGCAGCATATGTGCTTATGATTCTGCAGAACAGCCATTAGGCTTACAGAGCTTCTGCAACCATGAGTAGAAAAAAACCCAAAAAACCTCATCTTTTTATATAATGTAATAAAGACAGACATGTCATGATTTATTAGCATAACAGTCAGAGACACAGAAGCAGCTTTATGTGCAATGTCTCCTCAAAATAAGCAAATGTTTGCAACTACAATCAACTGCCAAAGAGTTGGGATAACCCCCAAAAAACCCCAACAAACCCAAACTATACTTCATGAAAGTAACACAGTTAATATCATAAAATCCTTGCATTGTGAATTACAGACATCCTGTGAGCAATGTAATTACAGCTGTTAGTGGTATAATTACAGCTGCAACTCCGCAACTGATGAAACTATCATCTGCCCTGAACAGAGCACTGGTTGTTTCCTTTATCACCTTTAATTACAGACAATCTCCTGATACTAAGTGACATCCCTTCTGATGGCAGGATTTCTAATCTTCACTCAGTTTCCACAGATCAGACCTGCTGAATTATCATGAGTAAAAAGTAGCTTATTTATGAGTATCTAAAGATGTTTTTACACATATTTTTATGTGTGTATAGTCTCTATAAATACATGCATTAACACACAAAGAAAAAGTTATTAGTAAACAGATACCCAAAATTCAGCTGCAAGAAATTCAGTGTTCACCATGAAAAAGTGACCTCTGGGGCATAGGTGAGAAGAAAACATTACTGAAAAAGCTGTTATGTGAGTTTATCAAGGAAAGAGGTAATTCTATCTGAAGCTCTTCCTAAAGAAGTTCTCAGGCTGGACTGAAGTCTTCTCATGTTTTCCTGTATGAAGCAATTTATAAATAACAAAACTGCCACAAATCTGTTATATTTGTGCTGTATAAAAAATAGCTCATTGATGACTGCTTAGTACATCTAGATACTTTCCTTCCCTTTGACCTTTCACTATCTCATTTACCTCCTTTTCAGGAAAGAGATGACAAGGGATGGATTTAGTCATGATTCTTATTTTTGGTCACCTGTTTGTGAATGAAGAAGGAGAAGGACAGTAAGCTGAAGTACTAGATTCCTTTTCAACCACCTATGTGAACTACACAGGTGTTTTAGCTATACTAGGCAATGGGGTTGCCCCCACATTATTCTCTTCCTGGGACTGATATAGATCAGATTCCAGTTCAGACAGCTGCTGACAGCCAAAGTGGAGTGCAACAGAGGCAGGGGTTTAGACAGCTGGCATAAATGTCATTAAACGCTTTAAACTTGGTCCTTACTCATAAGCTTTTCTGCTCTATGGACTGGACAAGTCTCTAGTTTTTCCAACTTCAATCCTAGACTGTGTTTTTTGAAAGAGAGAACAATGTGGTGAAGTAAAAAGATTCTAGGTATCACAAATTCTACTAACAACTAAGTACTTGTTGGACTAGAGGATCCTTGAGGTCCCCTTCCAACCTGGCATTCTGACTTTTCTGTACAGTGATCAAATCATCACTCTTGTGGGAAAGTGACGAAGATGATCTGCAGGACTTTGATCTACCTTTATGAAAAACAGTGATCATTATAAGAATGCTATGTGGTCAGAAAGTGGTAAAAAGAAAATGGAAAAGAGAAAAAAGGGCAAGTGTTTGCATGTTTGTTTTAGTCCTTCCAGGGCTTCTTCAAGGATTTTGAACAGCTACAGAACATTCACTTGTTCTTATTCCCAGGCTTGTACTGTTGCAGGTTGACATAACTAACACCTGTATTTTCACCCTGAAGAAGTAGGTGATCACCTTGTTCACCTGAGAAAAGCAAGTAGAAGCACCAACTGGAAAGTCAGGAGCATGAAAAGGGCAAACATTTCAGGAAACCAACAAGAATCTGGGCAATTAAAACAGAAAGTTACAAGCTGCAGAATGTGTTAATCTGCTTCCAGGTCTCTTGTTAATACTTTTTCACTCTAGAATAATCTACTGTTTTTGTAGATTTTTTTCAATAAAGAATAGCCCCAAACTATAAAAACAGACACTTACAAAAGGATAGAAACTGCACAAAAAGTATCCCTTTACCTTTTTGAACCTTCAACATTAGCAAGCAAAACAATTTTAAAGCACACATTTATAAACCATCAGAATCCTTTTTGTATTTCACAGTTTAATTAAGCATCCATTTGTTTTCTTCTATTCCCAGTTTATGAAGATACTCAGATTGGTATAATTTTTTTGTTAAACTGAAATTTTATCACAGATAAATTGCTTTTGCAGGATGATAAAAACATCACTTGGACATTTACAAAAAAATGGCCTAAGTATGGAAATAGTGATAAAAGACATAAGGAACTTAAGGTCCACCAGGAACAGTGAAGAGAATATATTTATGATATGTATAAGATTCATTTAACACTGCTGCAGAGGGCCAGAAATTCTATTTCACATGCATATGGAAGACACTTGATGCTGTGAAATTGGGAATGCAGGCACAGCAGTAGCAATTTCAACCTCTCCATGCATCCCTCTGCAGGGAGGAGTGTGTGCTTGGCAGGCTGGAGGGGTTCCCTCTGTGCCAAAAGCAGAGTTATGGGCCTTTGCAGCACACTAAACTCCACACTAAAAGCACCGAAGGCAGCCCAGGCCCCTGCACAGCAATACTGTTGCACTTGAGGAGAATATTGAGGAAATATTCTGTGTGATTTCCACAGTGCAAAAGTTACTGCATCTGTTGGAAATATCAAGCCATAATGGTCACACACTGAAATATTTTTACCTCTCCTTAGCAGTATATCATAGACACTCATCACTCATGACCTACGCTAACTGTACTTATAGGACTATTTGTATCACCCCAACAACAAAGCACTCTCTTTGATACAGTGGACTAAAACATGTAATTTCTCTCTGAAATTAGAGTGAGCAGTGTGAGAAAATCCTTTGCCTAGAGAAGGGACCCCAAGGATTTCTGTCATGTGCATGTGTGAGGGAATAGAAGGGAGGAAGGAATAATGTTTAGTAATAAATATGGACCTCATAACAGTTATTTCAAGACATCTGAAATTAAACTAGTTAATAATCACAAACTTTAACGGTACAAGAAAATTGCTAGATTGAACTAGCATTACAAAATTTGGATTAAGCATATTCATGTTTCATTTTATTTCTACTGCTCTTAGGGAAGAAGTCTAAAACAGAAGGCAGATAATGCAGTCTTGGGGGGATGTTCCCCAACCCCATGACTCACACTGTTGTACAGCTAGCTCTGTATCTGTTTCCAGGTTGTCTTCATAGAATGAATTAAGATTCTAAACACAAGATGTCAGACTCCTAAAAAACTGCTAGGAGCACACCACCTGGCCAGCTCTGACATGTATCCCAATTGATGCAATATATGAGCTTATTTTACATCCCACTGCAGCAATTTCTGTAGTCAGTAAACATGCGTGAGTTACCAGAGAGATTTAAACACACAATGCTATTCAAGGGATGTTTGGAGCACAAGATGAAGGGAAAAAGGATACAGATTGATCAGCCTGATCTGAAGAAAAAAACCCACATTGATGGTGAGACATGTAAATAATTCTGACCTTAAAATATACTGATCTAATCTCATTATGTGTTGGAGAGTAACCTCTTCTAAAATAAAAGGCTAAATAATCCTCTAAATGGAATCAGTCATTTCTAGAAAATCCTAAACAAAAAACAGAGGAAAAATAACCCAAAAACCAACAAAAGTTAGTATAAAAAGTTACAATCTTTCCCTTTTGAAAACTGGAATTGTCCCATTTATCTTTTCCAAACATTTGTAGCCTGACTCACATTAGTCATCTGCTATTACTCTGAAATCAATACAAAGACACAGGTACCTACAGTGGACAAATTATCACCCCTCTCTGTCCTAGAATGGAATGAATAGTTGTATAAAGGTGTCCTCAGAGAATCCAAAGGGATAAAACGTATTAATTTTTAGATATCTGGAGTTAACTAAGGTAAATATCAGAACAAAAACTAGCAATGTGCCCTGCAATTCTGAAATTTTAGGCATTTATTCTTTATTAGTTCCAACTTTCTTGAAACCATACACTCCACATAGAGGATTCAATATTTCTATCAAACATACCCAATTTAAAGCAGTGTCCCCTCTAGGGGGTAGCAAGTCTACCACCTCCTGCACCTGCCAAAGAATTATAGCTGGAAGGGATGAGAATGGGATGTTCTGGGTCTCTGGGTCCCACTCCCTCTGTAAAGCACACACAGACAGCACTCACACAGGCTGAATTTGTGAGGGAACACTTCCCCAGCTTTACATTTTAGGAGAGAGTTACACCAAAGCAAAGGTAGTAATTTCAGCTCAAGCAGACCACATGCATGCTGGGAAGACACAGGTTAGGTAAGAGCCATGCAAGTTATGTACCTGGTCGTGTGGTGAGTCCTCTGTCTGCAGCCGGGCGGGCATCAACTGGCTCAACTGGGCATGTGCAGAAAAGAAACGAAAAAGCAAACAAAACATAAACAACCCCCCCAAAATTATAAAGTCAAGTGCTCTTCTGTTGGGACAGTGCAGGACAGACATAAACAAAGTTACCAAAGCAACAACTAGAAAAGGTCTGCCTTCAGTTAATCCTGGAAGTAAAAGGAAGGGATGGGCATGACTTCACAGCTGATGGGTCAATCTTACATCATACTCTGGTTACTGCTTCAAGTGAGAAACCATAAAGACCAAAGAATTTCTGTCTATAGAATGCAACCATATTCATTATATGCAAACTTTTTCCTCTTGTCTGATCAGAACTGGCAGCCAGAACAGACATGGTAAGTTCCTGTAGCTGCTCTTGATCAATACTGATTTACAAACCTACTGAATCCATCCTTTTTCCTTTCAGCAGGGATTCTTCACAGCACTAGCTATAAGGTTTGAAAAAAGTAAAGTGCATTTTGAAAATACAATCAATACTTCATTCCAGTATGTTCTGATTAGTAGACAACAAATTTGTCTTCCAATTTTTGAAAGGAAAACAAAGAAGAAACATCACTTTCAATCCATCTGTGTGTCATATATAGTTTTACAAAACTCTTGTATTACCCCCACTAAGGCTGTATCAGCTGAAACCCAAGGTTGATAGAGCTTATTGACATTAATAGAAAAACAGGATTTGCAAATCTGACGAGCTGTTTGAGTCACTGCCTACTGCAGTGAAGTCCAAATACAATAAAATGCTCATTAAAACATTCAGATTTTCACCCCTCTCTTTTTGTTGTTTCTCTCTTTAGTTCTAATCCCGTTGCCTTCCTTATCTACTCAAGTGACAGTGTCAGAAAGAATTTAAATTCAGAAATAAAGTGTTACATTGTTCCTCAGAGTTCAGAATTTTTAACACGTGGTATTCTCATTCATCTGAATTTCTGCATTCGGGTATGAGCCTTCATCAGCAGTAAGTGAGGAGCAGTAACATACGAAACTTGACAAAACCAGTTTTCAATCACAAAGAACTGCTCATCGTATTTGGTATCAGAAAATCACATAAACCTGATGATACTGCTGACTTAACCAATGGAACTGCCCATCTGCTCAGGAAGTCTATGTCACTTGCTTAGTGTGCCTGTGGGTTTGACAGCCTACCATGCTTCTAAGTGAGAACTTAAGTGGCTCCCATGTCCTTTGCACACAGGAGATGACTGCAATAGCTCCTGCCTTCAGAAGAAAAGCAGTAAGCCAGCTTTAGAGTAGCTGCAGACTGAAAGCACATCAGCACATCTGACTTCCTTGTGTTTCTAAGGGGCAAAATTTTCAGAGCTTGCTGGTTTGATGCTGCAGAGACAAGTCATCAAGGCACTTTCCTTCACAGCAGTTCCAAGTGGCACTAGTAGACCATATAATTGCTTTTCTTACATAGTTCTACAAAAAACTCACCATTTCCATCCTCAACTAAAAACTACCGTTTTGACTATTTTCCTATTTATGCCTTCTGCCAGGTTTTCCAATACTGTTGGCACCATCCCTCAGGCAGGCCAGCAGTGATTTACAGTGACACGTGCTGAAGGGAAGAAACAACCATGGATCAGCATTACCCAAAGTGCTCCTGCAGACCCCTCCTCTGTCACCCTGGCCCCACCTCCTCTCTAGAAGGCTGAGAGGTTTTATTTCCCACTTGCCATGTAACCCTACATGCCCACAGCTATGGAGAATTGGGAGAGCACCTTCCAGGTAGCAACAGAAATGGGAGTGGGTAAATGGAGTAAATGATGGAGGAGTGTTCTGTTGTACAGCAGTATGAACCTACTGTGGTCAGGTTAAAGTATTAATAATGAGTAATTCATATTGTCATCTGTAATTTTGGAAGCACTTTCCAGGGGAAAAGGCAAACATCACTGGCACATTTCATAACTGACAGAAAAATGAAAAGACCTGCTCAGGGTCCCAAAACAGCTGCAGGGCAAAAACTGGAGGAAAATGCTAAGAGCCAAGGGTCTTCCAAAGCAGACTGTGATTCCAGGCAGCACAAGACAATGAAAGGCTGGTTTCTGGAGAGCCCTGAGCCACCACCTTTTGAATTTCAGATGCATTTTAAAAGCTGCTTGCTTTGCCCCAGTAGTGATGTATGCACAGAAAGCAGTTAGCTCTGAAAATCTTGTCTGTGGGTCTTCTCACTGCCTGTCCCACTGAACCACACCACAACAGCTGATGAAGAAAGGAGAAATTTAAATCTATTAACAGCATTTATCAATAATCAAAACTGAAGGATGTACTGTGTGTTATTATAAACACTGTATTCATTTTGATGCTCCAGAATCATATTTCTCTTGAACATACTTCCATGTGCACAGAAGTACACAGAAATAAGACTGAAAATTTATTTTCCAAATAGCCTCATCAAATTAAATTGGTATGTGTCTGCTTACACTGACTACTCAGGCTTCATACAGGCCACACGCACCACCTTTATCTAATGCCGATATATCTCAGAAGAGCAAGAGAGAATGTGTTTTTCTTTCCAAAAGTAAAAAAAAGGTACATCAAAAAGCTGGTACAAACCAGCAGGAGAGGTGTTCTATGTGATGCTCACCTACCAAGAACATTGTTGAAGTGAGTAACTGGACAGGTCATAAGGATAACACAACACATTTACACTTTATTTTGTCACTACAGCTAAGTGTAACTGCAAACTAAAATACAAAATGTTTACCAAACCCAGTTAGTCACTGGCAAAATGTCCAGGGGGCTTGGTGGTATCAGAGTTCTAAAGGTGTGTTTTTGTTAAAATACAATTTCCTGACAGTTTAGTGGTGCCTTCTGCAGGGTTCTCAAAGAGTGTTTTTTGTCAACCTAATTTGTGTTGCAGTATGTTAAACATCCATTCAGCCATGCAAGTAGTGTGGTGTAGTACCTGCTGCTTTGGATTAACTTCTGTGGACATTTACAGGGAAACTACCTCAGGGGAAAACAAGGAAGGAAATACTTGCCGAAAATACTAAGCTAGGCTAGACTTTCAGGGTCTTTTTATTTTTAGACTATTTTTCACTTATTCATCAGTAAAAGCAATTTTAGGAAAATAAACCATTTGTATAAAACCTCTCCTTTTACCTAAACATGCAGTTTAGATTTGGAAAATTTCAAATGGACTTATGAAGCCTTAAGATTACATGGCAACATACCAATCCAAAACATTATTAATATCTCTGGGTGAAACCTGAGATTAGATCATGGCCATGGAATGAAACAGGCATGGGAACTAATGACAGATTTAAGGTATTTTTGGTAGTATTTTAACTGCATTACCTGTACACAGAACACTGGATACTTTGAAACCAAGATTTAATGGCTGCATTTCCTTCCATTTTTCCCACAATCACATTTTGGTTTAAGCATTCCCTAAATGATTCAGTAAACACAAGTACCACAGCTCTGACTGTGATGGAGGGGTGTGATCCTGGCTCCTAACTCAGCCTGCTCCAGGAACTGTTTAGGTGCCGCTCAGACACTGATAGTCTCATCAGAAATTTGTTTTAACAGCAATGCAAATTTGCAATGATGCAATTGATTTGCCTGGTGTGCTTGCTCAGGACTGAAGAAAACTATTGCTGATGCTCTGCAGCAGCTTGTTGCAGCGAGGATGTTGGGACTCTCAAGCTAACCTGTCAGCACTCTGGATTTGTGTTCAGCAGAGTTCTAAACACATTGAGTTCAGATTTCAAACAAGACCAAAACAGCATCCCACAGCAGTGCAACTTGCCATGTGAAACCCCTCTGGTAGTCCCTGTTTAATCTGCTGGACCACCCACTCTGCACATTCCCCCCTGAAGGGCCATTCACAGGGAACATGCTGTGATTTTCTTGACAGTGCTGAGTACCCTCCGTTTTCAGCCAAGTAAAGGGGAGCTGAGATGCTCAGTTCTCTGCCCTTTGCTGGCACACTCATCACCTCCCAGCAGCAGGAGATGCTGACTGTCACTAACATTGCAATGGTTAGTCACTCCACAGTATCTGAGCTTTCTACAGGATGTGATTTTCAAACTTTCACCTTTTTTGATCAATGGTTGTTTGTTACAAAACAGCAATGACTTGCTCAGTATTGCATAAAATACAAAATCCTCCCTGCATAAGGGAAGCTTATTGTGTGAAAAACAGGCTAGGCAGAAAGACCTTGAGTGGACAGGGAAAGAAAAAAGAGGAGGAGAAAATTTTGTCGATTATTTTTTCCTCTTGCTACTTCCAATGCATATTATAACAAGACAGAAACACATTTTTGGAAGCAATGTAGACAATGCCTGAAATAAGACCATGGTCACAGAAGAAAACAGGCAGGGGAAATGAAGATAAATGACACAGTTAGTCCTGGGATTCTGGAACAAAGAGGTGGGAGACAAACACCAAAGAAAAAAATGAAGCTGTGAAATTCCCTTTTGATGTTATAGGCATAGATATAGAAAAGGTGTCTAAAGAAAGAAAGAAGGTATTATAGGCATGATCACATTAACAACATTGTGGTTTGGGTAGATGACAGAAAAGTATAATGGGAAACAAGAAGGACTTGAAGAGGTTTAAGCCACCAAATAATTTCCGCTTCTAACTGTACAGACTTGAACAATAATAATGGTTAGCCTAACAGAATTGTTTGCTGCAATAACTTCATGAGAAAGACAATCCTGATATAAAAACCCAAAACTAAATCCCAGCAACTTGAAGGCATGAAAGTTAAAAGTTATCTCCACAGTAAATATTAAGAAGGGCTGCAACACACCACACAACGCATTAAAACACACAGGATTCATAATTAAACAATATGTTATTCCAGGCAGGAAGGTTTTTGTTTCTTATATGCTGTCATACATTTTACAAGGAGAACCATGCTCAGTATACTTGCCTATGGAAATTCAGTGTCACATTGATGTACTTTTCATTATTAAATTCTGGGCTTAGCCATGTTTCTGAAGGAAAAATACACTTGTGTGATTAAACTGTGGGTATGTCTGGGTGCACCTTTCTACCTAATAAACTTCTGAACCTGGTGATGGAAATCACTACATCTTGAATGCTGGGAGGACAGACATTAAAAGTAACTAATGTGCCCCAAGTTTCATGAAAGCAGGTAGTGGGTATAGAAACTGATGCTCTGAATGCCCCAGCCATGAGAAAAACTGGGAGCTGCACTGGAAAACTCCTGCAGGACAGACACCACCAGCCAGATTGGGACCTGCTCCTGGCAGACAGCCTTGACACGTATGCTATAGTGAGCTGCTGCTCATTGCCCAGGACAATGAAGTTCAGCCTGCCAGCCTGGTCAGTTGCCTGTGTCACTGCCAGTGCCTGATGCACTCGTGACAGCTGCTCTCAGCCACTTAGCACGTCACTGGGTTGCAAGTGCCCTTCAGACATGTCTGGAGTCCTTGTCACCATCTGGTTATTACTGCTGGTTGGTCTGTGCGGTTTGCTCTGGCTCTGCTCTTTCACTTGGTCCCTACCTGTACTGCCTGGCACTGATTTCACCTCCCTCCACCTTCCCCTCAAATCTTGTATACCTCTACCTCACTGATTTCCTGGCCTTTGTGCACTCTTTTCTTTTGCCTGATCCTAGGCTTCTCTGACTCCTGGAGACAACCCACTTTGATCACAAAACTGGGTCTGACTCCAC